GAAGTAATTGATTTATTTTAACTATCGAAAAAGAATAAGATATGTAGCACGACTTACTTAAAGGATACAATGATTATATACGATTATGGACAAAAATTTGCTCATTTTTAAAATGAGGGCAATTACAAAGTAATAATTTAAACGCATAAAGAGATATTTTAGTACAGCTATACGATTGCTTGACTAAGTATCAATTATAGCATGATATTATAATAACTGTAGTAGTTAGAATTTAATTTTTTTAGCATTAATGAATGGCATCATTATAATACATATTAATGATAATTAATAAAGATATCGTTACAGACAGTAGTATTTCTAATATATAAAAAATTAGACAGCCTTACAAATACCCCTTATATTTGTTAAATGTTACGAAGCAAATTTAGGTAAATTAATTGTCTGACGCACAGACTGCTACGCAAGCAACACAACAGAAACAGAAGCAGAAAAAACCTACAATGATGTACCCGGCTGTAGTAATCCAAAAAGCAAATAAATAGAGCGTTTGGTTGCAGTACTTAATATCCATTGGATTAAAGGATGGTTTGTATATACTGTAAATCCACACGTTACCGGCAATGAACCAAGCAATGAGAAAGCAAGTTATAAGGGTCTCGTAACTTTGCACGTCATTACTTTTAGAAGATTCCGAATTATCGGAATCTTCCGAATCGTCCGAATCATCTGTATCACCCTTCGATACTTGTTGGCAAAGATCCAGAAGATTCTTGAGCAATCCAAAACTCCCAAGAACAATTAAATATATTGGGATTTTAGGTTGTACTGGGCACTGGTCTTTGTATATTGCTCCTAGATGTTATTAGCTTAGGTTAGAATAAAATGTCTTTCTGTTGGCATACATAATTGATTAACACACGTATAGTATAAATGTATTACCTATAACAATCAGGGAGATTGGAATAGCCAGGAAGATACCCAAAAATATTGTGAAGCCAACTGTCATGGTTGAAATGAAAATTAATAAACGCTGATGATTCTAAATGCAAGTTATCGTTATAAATTGGTTTTTAAGACAGAAAATTTGATGACTCTTACATGTGCCAATAATCATTTTAAATATTTTTCCAAAGAACTGAGGATAGTTATCTGACTCTTCTCGCGTTCTGCGTATTTTCTTTACGACTTCAGAATAAGATGGTGGTGGACCTAAGATTTTATAAATGAAGTTTGACGACATTTTTATTATACAACGTATAAATCTGATGACAGGATTTCTGCCCATAACCGAAGCAGTGTTATTTTTTTACGTATTTGCTTTCAAACCAAATTAAAGATATTAGATCTTCACCTGGAAATGGCAGGTAAGGTGGCGGTGCTTCCCGTGACTCCAAGTTTGTTGGTGGCGCTTCAGGATCTTGTGATCCGTACCTTGGTGGCGGATCAGCCACTAAAGTCGCATTGGTCCTATCGGTAGCCATTATCTCGCATTAATCGTCTGTAAATCTGTTGTAAGTAATATTATATTGCAAATTCAATTAGTACATATCTAAGTATAAAAGATAATTCGTAGCTAAGAGGTTGTCACAAAACAGCTTTGCAACAAGATAACGCAATATACGATCAATAAGTCAATTCCTTGAACCACGTATCAAGGAACGATATCTGCACTATCACAACCACTTTTGCTCTACTAGCAGACTACACAAAGACTTAAACGCCTCGTATTTTACGTTAAACACTAAGTTGGAGAATTCTTCTTTATTTCACGATACGCTGCATTTATATACTATTCCTCAATAGTTCATGAGTCATAGTTAATACAATTAACATTAGAATCATTTACTGAATTAGATATTAATTTTAGCTACTGCTCCCTTAATGCAGACAACAGTATTTACGAGCATAGACATGTAATGACTAATACAGAATAGTCAGATTACGATATGTCCTATCACGGAACATTTCCATGATAATTTACAGTCTACCATAAGTAAATTACAATCACAATGATTCGAACTGTAAGCAGATGATTTGCATTCCCTATTATAGCTATTAATTTCAGTATGTGTATAAGTGTTACTGTGATAAAAAGTCAGTGCTATATTAAAACACAGTATATCCAAATTAGAAGTTAACTAAATAAGGATAGTCTAATAGAATTATCCTAACATAGATATTTCTACTGTAATACAGTATATAACACTGTAACAGAGGTACTTTCCAATAAATAGGAAAACGCTTATTAATTATAAACCTACTGGACAGGATAATCACATTTATATGGCTGATTACATTTGTAGCAGTTGTGATTGAATTATTATCTCTTGAAATGATATCGCTGTTACATGAAGCACGTAAGGCATATCAATTATAATTATGAAGCCTTATTTCCCCGACAGTACCTGCTAAAACGATGGAGGTGAGAAATTCTTTTAAACTAATACTGCATAAGTTATTTCATTAATTAAGCAGTATTAGGTTAGAAAGATGTAAAATATCGTACATCATCTATAACGATAAAGTGTAGTAATAAGAAAATATGATGCAATTACATTGAACGTATAGAAATTTTAATAATATAATAAATAATTTATCAAGCATGATGCAATGTCAAAACAGAAGATTGAAATAAGATTAATCTTTAGAGTTAAAGCGTTCTTTCGGGTGTTACTTGTCTACATATTTTATGGCAGAATGATAGTTATATATTTTTTAACAGGATAAATCAAATGTAATATAACCTAGTAAATTTAAAAAATCATCAGCCACACGTAGTTAGTGTTACAATAAAAGGAATACATACAAAACCCCTCGAGGAAAATATCATATTCACTAAAATGTCTCAAAACGTGGACATTCGACTAACGTCCAATCCCAAGTTGAATAATTCTACAATAAAATCATCTGCTATTTAATTCTCTTCCAATACAGTTTACTACGACAGATCACTTAGCCAGCTAATTTAAGTGTACAACAAGGAAAAATATACTCGATTCAAGCAAAGCGTTCTCAACCGTTGGATAAGAATGAATGAAATTTTAATTAATGGTTTGCTGCGTAAAAAATTTTTCTACCAAGAAATGAACAGCTTCACGTATAAATAGGCGTACACCGAATTATGCTATTGTACAGTATAGCAAAGAGATTTTACTATTCGCTGCTGATTATATTATTGAACAAATGGTAAAATTAATTGAAACAATTTAACAGACTAATACGATTCATTGATGTGTAGTACCTTTTAGATGACGGCAGTTTAGGAAAAATAAAAGAAAGGACAAACTTTAATCCAAGAGATTAACTAGTACAGCTGCTTTCGTAAGAGCAATAATAGCAAAATAGATCGGAAATAGACGCATGGAAAATTTACAGTAGTGTGTTATCACAACTGCGGATACATCGATCGACGTTCCTTCTTGATCAATATTATTGTGATATAATGTAGTGTTACATCATTTTTGCACTTGCAAAATACGCCCTTGGATATCTCAGTGGATCATTGTTCCAACTGACAGAGGACAATTTTAACAGTTTCATTTTTTATCACAAGAAGCAATTTAAAATGTGATACAGGACGACGAAAGCTTAACCATACCAGATTTATGGGTAAGAGTTAATTTAAATTGTGTCTCGAAACAATAGTAGGAAATGAGGTAATGCTATACATTATTGATTTCATCTTTATATTGCTTTACGAATATTGCACATATAAAGTTATTGAATCTATCATGGATGTATCTGCTAATCCAATCTCTCATTTCTCAATTACGCGTATAACGACTTTATTACGAACAAGTTGGAAAAATCGTCAAGACAATCCTCAGATTAAGTTAATAGCTGCTATATTCAATTACATTAAACTGAGCAAGGTCCACTATATTGACGTTTCAGCACGTAAATTTTTACGTATACCGGCAAAGCCCAAAATGTTACGAGTAGAACATGGTGTTAAATTTGAAATGCAAAGATACTATACTATTAAGCGTAAAAATCCAGTATTTGCACGACATGCTGGGACAATTGTAAGAATTCGAGCTTATGCATTGTAGCACCTAGTAAAATTGAAATCATGCTGTCATTAAATCAATCAAAACGAAATAGCTATTGATTTTGCACTTGATGGATTATCTTTCTATCCACAGTAGTCATCAATCTGACAGCTTATTTTACAGGACTTTGATAAATGATGAAATCCACTAATTTGAGCTGATTAGTGTACGTATGGCGTATTAACTCAATCAATGCGAATAAAATGATCAACGAATTTGAACTCGATAGACAATTTAGTTATCAATAGTACTGTACATTTAACGTTCCTTGTTGACTTTTGATTGCATCGATAATAAATAATAAGATCATGTAATTTTATTGTTCTATATCCCTATATACTGTGCGTCCAGATTGATAAAAGATGCAGGCAATTAACATTTTAAATTTTTGAACTTTACTGTTTATTTTTCTTATAACTACATTGGTGACAAGTGATGAGATGAAATAATTTTGATTCATTTCTATGATTAATGGTTTGAACTCGATAACCAATCTAATTTTTTTGCACCTTTTACCGATTAATTTTCCTGTAACTACAGTGCTGATGAATGATAAGATCAAATACAATATTAATTCATTTCTATGATTAACGATTTGAATTCGACAGGCTATCTATAAATTAAAACCTTTACAGCTTATTTTACTTAGCTACATTGGTAACAACTGATGAGATCAAATCAATTTTAATTCACTTTTACGTGTATTCGTAAGAATCCTACTTTGAATCAATAACGACACAACTACCGTCGATTTCAGGCTTGATAGACTACAGTACTTATCATGATATATCATCAATACGCGTATTATTAGCGTATTTTTTACTAGGTATTGATTGCATAAGCGATCAATGTGCAAGAACCACTAATTTTAATAGTGTGCTCCATATCTATTGGACCTTAAAGCAATGCAGATAAAACGGCTCATGAATTTGAACTCGAAAGATTACATATTTACGTACGACATTTGATGGAAATTAATAATAGCTGTTTGTCTTGAGCGATCCCATCATATTTGAACTCATAGTCAAGAATGAAACTAGGACTAATGATGTTGAATTTGATCGACAATTTAGCTATACATTCGAGCAGCATTTTTAGTAGACTTTGATTAACGAATTTAAATTTAACGCAGTACTAAAACCCTTAAAATAGATTCGATTTGCAAGATAGATCAAGATATTGCGCAGGTGTCGATGGTAAACGAAAACAATTCGTATGGTAGAATCAATACAATCCGAATCAACAAAATAAGCTGTCAATTCCTGCCTATTTTGTTGATTCGGATTGTATTGATTCTACATATTTTCATCAGCTACTAGTACCACGTATTTGACTGACTTTTGAAAAATTTCAATTTTCTAACGCCCTTGGAATCAGGATATAATGTTCATTTTTCTTCCGTCCCGTGTCAATTTTATCACTGTTGTTAGGACTACGTATAGAGAAATGGAGTTGTAAGCGTCGATAAAATTTGTGTACAATTGGAGGGTTTACCGAACTGAAGAATTCCCCGTAGATTACCTTTTCTACGGCTAACAACTACAGAACTGTAGATTCTGATACAACTAGCTAGTTCTGTAATAGGTACTGTATGTTTATTGGACAGCTGGTTGTTTGGATTCGTGTCAATGATAAATGATATCAGAATTCCTATCACGTTCTCAAAAGTGAATTCATCATTTCCTATGGTACAGTAGTATGATACAGTATACTAAATGCCATCCAAGTTTTTGACTGAAGTACCCGTAGTTGGCCTTTATTATAGTTAGTAACCACAGGATTAGACTATTATCCCGACCTCAAAAGCAAATCCTTCTTTTACTATAATAGTATGATACTAATTAATTAGAATGCTATTCAAGCATTTCCACAGTTGCTAAAAACGGAACCGACAAAACAAATGCGAAATCGATAGTCAATGTGGTCGATATTTTGATTCTACCTTTCAGTTTCTGCTTCAATATAGGATAGTAACTAATAAATGAGTAGCCATTTTGGATTAACTGACGGTCGACACGACCATCAAATTTATGTTGTTATAATTAAAACAGAATACATCGAGCTTCTGTTTGTAACGCTATCATCAAAGGTCTCGATCGGCTGGGAGTCTAAATTTTGTTGAACTGTTATTAATTATATATTGGAATTATCATTGTATTAAAAGTAGTTAAGGGAAGAGTTTTATTTTTCTACCATGGTCACGACATGAGTAGTCAATTTTACTTGGTTACAAACTATCTACTAACCCTCCCAGTTGATGATAGTAAGTAAATGAATCAAGGTTGCTGATGATAGCAGTAGAATAACACCGAGTCAATAATTATTAATTAAAAAAATACATACACGTCTATACTATCTATCTACGAGAATAATAGACTAGACAACAAGAAATATTAATCAATTATTCGGCTCGGGATTTCATCAGGGTGGTATGGAAAAATTCGATGAAAGCTGATAGAGTACAGATGGTCTCTATCCCATCAACTTGTTCAATTCCTTTTAACAATCTACAGTACTCTTCTTTCGTGTGATAGGATAATATCATGATTGGACTGGTACGATGTAGGTAATGATGTGGTAATGGCGATAAACTGTCATATCACGTACACTGAGTAACCGATATCCACGGTGCGGGAAAAGTTGTGGACAAGGTCGTGCGAGAAAAAATACTCGTACTGTAGCATCAGCATGGAAATTAGTCGAGATTAACACGAAGAGAAAGAAGGCATAGGCATGTAATGAAGGGCAAAAGGATAGACAGATTAATTTGGCAGCAGTAAAGATCTCATCATCCATATTTATTTCCAATTGCTCCATGTCTACCTACAGTAAGTCATACTACTGTCTAGTGACTGTATACGGTATGTTGGGAACATGTTTTCTTCTGCCAGCACAGAATGTTACCGTCAAAAGTGACGAGAGAGAGAGAGAGAGTTGACGACGGCATATCGTATCTAATTACTACATACAGTAGTACATACAGTAGTCCAAAAGGGTTTCTCAAAGCAGGAATGACTCAAGCAACAATTTTCCCTCACCTTACCGAAAATTCTAGTTTTCAAGGTAAGGGCGTTGCATATCAATTGACGATCATGAACGATCAATAATCGCAATGACTATACAGTATACAGTATATCGATTTCTAATTCATTTCATACATTCCTATCCATACACAATCAATCAAAATAAAACGCCTATCCCAAACGGATAGAATCAAATTATACTACTGAACTTATTGGAGTCATTCTTACATATCCTGGAATATAGAATATCGCCGTACCGATGAGAGTTGTTGTGAAATTAAATTTCGATTGTCAAGCGACGTAAATTTTTCGCTGATAAAAAAGCCCAAATTAACCAAAGGTGCTGGAAGACTTGTCGTACGGTATGGCTGCTAATGCAAAGTACTGTACAGTACTGTACAGTCGAGAAAAGTCCTTCATCAGTGTTGACTACGGAAAATCGATGACGTAAATAAAACAATAGACCTTCGGTGTACAGTACCGTAGGTATAGTACTAGTTCAAGTGTTGATATAAAGAATAGTACTGTATTATGGTTAACATACATTACAGTCGATAGGCCACTCTTGCAGGGGCGTGGCTACCGTGTAGTGTTATTCAATGGTGAAGAAATGGACTTTCAATTTGGCTAGAATTCCATGCAGATACATCTGTACAACCTTGAGCCATTGGCTCTTGATATGTTGATTCCTTTTTATCGCAGTATTACCTTGAGCCATTGGCTCTTGATAGGCTGATTCCATTTGATCGCAGTATTGAATAATTCTATTTCTACTTTCTAATACAAACTATCAGGCGCTTTTCGATGTATGGTCGCCCTGGGCAACCATTTTCTACAAGTCACGTGGTAATACCGGTCGACAAGTCCTTGGAGTACACTCAGACACTGTACAGTACCCATCGACCCAGAGAGCTCAAAGGAAAACAACCTGGTCACAGCTAGCCTGGAGTCTATAAATCACCATACTGAATCAGTTGTATTCAGTACTTAAAACTGACACAAAACCGATAGCAGTCTTTAGCACTCTGGCACTGATCGAGCGGCAGCAAATGCATTTACCGATGGAAGAAGGAAGAGAGAAAAGCTCGACGCAACAGGATTCTGAAATAACTGCCCAAGATGAGAGGATCGATCCAAATGCGACCATCCTAAGCCATTCTGTTTTATCTCTACTTGTACCAAAGGTTGAATATGTTCAGGGCAGCGTCAAAGAAATTACGTAAGTGAAATGATGTCATTTTGCTTGGAAAGTGATCGATGAGTCACAGCGTGTTGGTTAGCTACTGCAAACTTTTGTCACTTTTTGCTAGATGCTGATTTTCATTTGTAGAGTATCATTGCCACTTTTATGACTTTCAACCTTCAATAGTATTGTAACAAATATTACCCTAGCCTTTGACAGTAGAAATTCAATCTATACCACATGGATAAACTCTCCAAATGGCTGAAATGACAGAGGACCATTTTACCAGCAGTTTCAATTGTACCACAACTTAACGAGCAAAAGTACCCCCTTTACTTGCTCTTACTTTATCAAGTACTCTACTCGTAGAAGTGTTATGAGGATTGATTGATTGTAATTTCCCGCTCAAAACATTCTTGAAATTAGATGGTTGTGCTTGAATGGACCTTCCATTCTTGCGATCGCTTTAAAGTTACCCGTTAGACACAACATAAACTTGTCATAAATAATAGTGCCCCGCTACAAGCACTACCAGCTACTTGAATGAATGTAAGGTCTCTTCCTCATTATGGTACGTGCTAGGGGACTCGTCAACGAACAGAATAGGCATAACTAAGTTGAATTCAGTATCTAAACAACATTCTAGCGGACTATTATAATAAGAAAACGAATCTTGCCTAATAGAAATCATCCTATCGACATTGTTTGCCCTTAATCCTCAATTTGCTAGTCTTGTAGTGAATACGGACTGTAAGTTGCAGCGCAAGTGATCATGGGAAGGAAATGTCATGACACAAATGAATTGATCCCTAAAATCAACATTTCTACTTTATAAGATACCCCTGACATACTGTGCAACTAGATATTATTAACGTTTACCATGTGGCTTTGCTAAGAAATCAACAAAAGTGTTGTATTCATTTTTCAGTAAAACACAGAACGTCCTTGCCAAATCAGTCGAGCAAGAAAATGAAAAGTTTCGGCAAATTGGCTACATTCATGACTTATCAAATACTGTAAGATATGCAATCATCTCAAATTGCAATGTTGTTATCATTGATGGATTAATGGAAGGCATTTAGAGACTCGATAATACTGTTTTAATGATACTCATTTTGATACTTTGAGTGAGCTTTAGATGATTTGTTCATTTTCATGTGATATATTATCGATATCATTGGTATGTTAATGTCATTATAATTATAGTTTATTAGGTGCAGACGTTGCAGATTTAAGCTAGTCAATATCAGGAGAGAAATGTTGAATCTGAGCGATAGAATGAATAAATTAAAGGTAGGCAATCGTCGTGATTTATCACGCCAATCGTTTGTGCTCTTGATAATATAATGATACACTTACTACAATTCATTATCGATTACTCTTTGCTGTTACGTTTGCGGGTACTTATTCGTATGTTGCTTGTTTGTGCTGCTGTCACTTGCAACCATGCAGAAACGTGCTGCAAGACTAAAGTCTATCCGCGAAAAGCAGCAGTTAAAGCAAGCCCAAGAAGAAGCCGAAAGACAAGCCTATCAAGCTAGCTTACTTGCTAAACCCGCCAAGCATTTAACAAATCAAAACTGAAAAGATGATAAAAAGACTAAGACTAAGTTCATGCAATGAAATACTTGATTTTTTTCACGTATATAAGATAGCCATCACTGTACATTGTTTTTATATCCATGATATGAAGGATAACCGTACTTCGATTAATTATTAGCTATTGGTTATCGTTTTCGGATCTAGATAATTTTCAACAGTATCCTATCACGATATCATGGATTAGGATACTACGTTTAATAATTGCCAAACCATCTAAAAATTGATTGCAAATATACAGTGTTTTGCGAGGAATTGATAGTGTGGTTGTGCAATGGTGAAACAGCATGGTCATAAAAATAGATGAATACTCTTAGAAGCACATTCATTTTGGTGCTATGCAGTATCATAGTGTTATCTGAAAAACTTTATTTCAAATTTTTATATTATTTTCATGCCAACAATGGCCAGATTTCTAGGTGAAATGTATTCCTCAAACAAAGGTATGATTCCACAATCTATGTTAAGCTCATTAAGGTACAAACAGCGGTCGATTGTTACGATACTTTCTAATAACGGCTGAAATAACACTTGTAATGCCTATGGGATAATATAAATTGAAACAAACTAGAATATCGTAATCACTAAAATGTATGTAGAATTTTCTTTTGAAGAGAAAATCTTACCGTTATGGCTTCTGCATATGGTATTACCAGCTCGTGCTCCTTGTACTTTTGCATGCATGTAGCGAAGCATTTCTCATAATTTTCATCAGTGACTGCTATGGCAGTAAATTATTTATTAATGCTGACATCAGTCTATCATATCCAGCACAACATTGTAGTTTGCAATCAACACAGATTTTAATATCATTAAAATTAGAGTGCTTTCTAAGTGATTATGCGTGCTAAAGTAGCATCAGGTAACCACTAATTTAAGTGACTCATTGAGCTAACACAAAAATTACGGTACTAAAGCAAGGTGACAGTTAGGGGTTGCAGAGGTTCGGTTACAGTAACAGATATGCTTAGAGGTAACAACGTATACAGTATGCGAGGATATAGAATCTTAATCATTCTATTTTACCTTGGATGCGGTTAAGATAGATTTTAGTGTAATCTTCGAAGGTCATCGCTGCAGATACTTTAATACGAACACGACCTTGATTTGTTTCACGAATCTCTTTAAAATCATTTAAAGGCAAAGTATACTTTACACGCAAAAACTTTATGAGTACGGATATAAACGATAGAAAGATTGGCTCAGCTACCTCTAGGCAGTGCTTCATTTACAATTGAACGATATGCAACATTTTTTGTATGGAGTACATGCTGAGCTAGGCTCATTTTTTCCCATCTATAAAGTTAAGTTCGCCATATACAACCTGATTAAACACTATCTGCTTTATCATTCGACCTGGATTGATATACAACACCGTATTGTAATACATAATGTAAAAAGCAAATTCTAACCTCTTTCTGGTCTCTTGTGCAGCTAAGCGCATTGCGTAAATCCCCATTTGCCAGTCGTGGTACTTTTTGCTCATCTGTGACAATATATCCTGTATAACACAACACAATGAACTTCAGCAATGTTACTTTCAATTTAAGACTATTATTGATTATACGGGTATAGTATATGTCAATACTACGTAGAAGAGGCTTTGGTTGTGTTGAACTTAAAAAGTTATTACGATACACCTACATTTAGATGAAAGCTCATCGGAAAATTTTTGAAGCAGCTATTTGCCTTAGTATCTGAAAGTCCAGTGCATGGTTTTGATGAGATTATGAAATAATTATTTAATATTGAAACAAAATTACCTTGCCGCTCAGGCAGCGGGGTAGTCATGCCGTGATAACAGCAACCTACACAGACAAGAAGAGCAGAAAATGGGCAGTGTTCTCCAACGTAGTGCAAGATGTTAGGAGTTAAATCATTACAGCAATGTAAACCAGCGAAACAAATTGGTATAGTTAAATTTTCCTGATTTTGATTCGGGAAACTAGCTACAGCTTGACAGTTGCCGTCTCTGGCGCTTTTCTTATTCACACCAATTGGATAATACAATCCTTTGCTGTTGTTAGTATGGTTAATCGATAAATCTTCAACTAATCGTGTTAATTCTTGATAACTTTGAGTATCACCGCTTATTCTTAACGTAATACTGTTTATATCTTGTGGTCTAGACCCATCCCAAGTTGATAATGAGGCATTCCTTTTAGAAATTACTTTAACATTACGAGTAATAGCACTTTCGGATCTTTGCGAATTTGAATCAAGTCCAACAATTTTCATTTTGTAAAGGCTATTAAGAACCTGGCCCAGATAACCCTAAAGATGAAGATACGTATCTTAATCTAATATGATTCATAGAGTAGCTGAACAGTAGGAGTATTTCGTTTAATCTGCTTAATTTCAGCATTTCCTAACAAAAACTGATGTAGTATGACCTGTATTGAAAGCTACCATACAAAAACTAAATGAATTAAGCTGAATTACCAGACCGGAACCAATGTCGACAACAGTCTCACAGCCATAGTTTTCGCACATTTTCGCAATGAAGGACGCCATTGATTCAACCTATTTGTGTATGTTGCGGGAATATATTACAATGAAGAGGACAACATGAGGATCAGGCAGAATCATTATTTTAAGTATAAAGTTATGTAATCGGCTAAAAGGATAATGTAAGAGTTGTCTATTAAAATCGATTAACCTCATGACGCTTTTTTGGGATCATTCCTAAGCCAATATCATCTTGAATCTCGGCCTTATCAATATTCTGATTTGGCTCTCGAGGCATAGCTAACGCAGCTACTTGAGTAATAAAATTCTGTAAAGATTTGGGCCAGAATTCCTAAGGATATATGTACAGATTGTGATTACTAAGAAAGGGTATTAGGTGCAGAAACAGTAGTAATATAGCAGATAAGGCTACTGGGTATTGTATTTTGCAGCATAATAAGCTCACTATTCTCATTCGAGCAAATCGCTTGAGTAGAATAACATCATTTCTATAGTACATGGATTAAGCAGCAGATGATAGTCTATAAAAAACCTGAAAGTAATCTTTCACTAGATTATAGACTTTGGTTTACATTATGCTCTGACATTACCTTTACTCTTCCTTGAGGAATATACTTTAGATCTTCATAAGAAAGCTGTAATAGAGGTTGCTGCCACTAAAGATGCAAAATATTTTGATGACATATTAAAAATTTCGAATTCATTCATTAAGCAGAGCAATGTTTAAATTCAAATCAGCAGTACTAGGAAGGTAATTGTACTTGTTATCATGATAATTAATTTAATCGTCTACATTTAATACTGTATTGATAGGAAAATCCATCTCTACTAATTACAATATACTGTACTACAGTTGTTGTAGAGCAAAATCGCTTGATTTCAACTCGAGCCTAAAGCAGTAGGTGATACGAGTACAAAACCTATCCGCGGTTCCTGCAGTATCACTCGATGAAATATCGCCTTATCTTAGACATATAGTGAAAATTACTCGTATTCTACCTTTAATTTAATGGTGCCTTGTAAAGCACCCAACACTCACTTCTTCAGGTATTTTTTCCCATATTCTCTCTTTAAAAAAGTCAACAACCTTAAAATTGTAAATCCATTCAAATTGAGCTACTATATCCACCACATCTTGCAAGTATTGTAGATGTCCATCTTTCCAGTGATCATATGGAGAAGGTAAATTATAAGGATTGGATATTTTCTTTAGATTAAGCATTCCAGTAAGGTTCATCGATCGCATTCATTACTCATGTATGACCTTTGTCAGAGACCACATCGCACACCCTTCAATAATCACATGATTATAGAAAGTCTTGAGTTGTTCAACTGGTGCAAATAAAGATCTACTTACGCAACGAAAAGCTTATGTCATGATAGCAGTACTTACGCTACGAAAAGCTCATAGTCGTGATAGCAGTATTAAGCTGTGCCTTAACTTATTTTGGTCATGGAGGCCAAAGCAAAAGCTTTCTTTGACCTCAATGGATTGGACTACAATTTATATAAACGTATACTGTATGTGTCTACTACTCCGTTGAGTATACAACTGCGACTGCGCAATGCTAAGCCTCCTAATTGGACCAGTACTGTAACCATTCTGTATTTCATGGGCGGGGCGAGCTCTCTATACTGTACACTGTACATATGTACATGTAATAGTACTAGTTAAAAGCACTTACGCAATACTGTGGTGTAGCCCCTTACAGGAACACTCCTCAGATCATAAGAATTATAATGGCATCCAAAAATATATCTACAGTATTAGGGATAAGGGAAATTATGTGCGCATATAAAAGCTTATAGTGTACTGATGTCGGCTTTTCTTTTCCCGTCACCTGGAGCACCGTAAAAGGGATTTTATATAAATAAATTAGAGAATTATAGAATTATCTTAACCTATACAGTACTGTATAGTATACACCCGTATATACTCGTATTACCGTGACTTTTCCTACAAAATACTTCTCTTATCCCTTTAGATAAAATATCGTTATCTATGACGTTATACATACTTTATATACAGTAGATAACTACATAGTTTTATAATATTATTACATACTTACGTAGATTTTCTATAAATTGAGCGACTTTTTAATAAAATTTGGGTTCAGCTTTGTCTAATAAGAGAGACTAGTATTGTGTTACTGTTCCTCCTGACGATAGAAGATCGTCAGTATTTTGAGTCGGACTGTAGGTAAATATCACGGAGGACAAACCCAACAGTAGACTCATCGTGTAATTTCTATTATAGTTTTAACTTTTCCTCTTTACAAATTTCTATTTGTAACAATTATTAATAGCACTTACTTTAAATTTGGCTAAAATTTCACGTTAGCAGGTCCTGACAAACCTTGAGCAATTGGTACTTGATATTTTTCTTGAACTTGTACTGGAGTATTGAGTTATTTGATCTTTTTTCAATTTTTTGATATAAACCATCAGTCACTGCCGCTTGTGCGGTCGGTTCAAACAGTATACAAATTATGCCGTGGCCTATTCCTTTATTGAATACTGATTTCAATTTTGAGGAAGCGCAAGTTTCTCAGGATGAGTGCCGATATTATTATGGCTAGAGCATTAAATAGGATTCACAATCTGAGTAGTCCCACGATAGTTTGCTAGTAGGCTAGATCGTAAGATTATGCAACTATCTATTGCCACTAGAGAGATATATTAGATATTGATAGTCCTCGGTATAAGAAATGATTGCTCGTGCGTACTGCTATAGCAAATGCAAAGCTGAACAAGAACCAAATATCCTGTCAAATATAGTTTTCGAAACAATTATTAGAGTGTGCAATGTGCATGTATCTATTGCCACTAGAGAGATACAATAGATACTAATAGTCTTTAGTAGAAGAAATAATTACCCGTACGTACTTCCATAATAAATGCAAAGTTGAACAAGAACCAAAAATCTTTGTCCTTTTGTGCTTTTTTGAGATAATCATCAGATTGTAAAAATATCTATTGTCGTTGGAGAAATGCAATAATACTAATAGTTCTTGGTTGAAAAATGATTACTCATACGTACTGCAAGAATAAATGGAATAATGAACAAGAAATGCAATTCTTGTCTATTTTGTATTTTTCGAGACATTCTTTAAGATGTACGTGTATAATCTAGATCAAATAGGATGAATAATTGTCTATTGTCACTTGAGAAATGCAGTCGCTATTGATAGTCCTTAATAGACGAAGTGTAAACATGCTCGCATGCACTGCAATATTATAATTAATGCAAAGTTGAACAAGAAGCAAAAGTCTTGTCGATCTATTTTTTGATGCACTTACACTTTTACGTTTATAAGCTAGACTGTAGGATTTCTACAAGTATCACTCATCATTGAAGAGATGCGTGCAGTAAATGCTGATAAACATAATTAATCTTTGGTATATCGGATGGATTTTACTCATATTTATTAATCATTAAGTGAGTCTTTAGCTCTAATAACACCATTTTACTTTCATAGCATTCGATATGAAGGTACTTCTGAAGAACTATCTCGAATTTTCTTAATAGTCAATTGCTTCGTTTAATGTTCGTTGCAAAAGCTTTCAAATAATTTCAAAATAGCTCTGGCCCTTGTTAAAATTTAGCACATTGATTTTACCATACGCATAAACAGAAAAAGGGATACGTTGATGTTTTACGATAATAAGATATTTCTTTTCTGATATCTGTTCAATAGTACAATATAAATCAGTGAATGATATCAAATTAAATAAACGTTAGCTACTGTGCTGTGTACAATATTACTGACAAAAAGGTTACTTCAATGACGACCAATTGTACAAGAAAATGTTCAAACAGCTAGCTAACCGACAATCGAGGTAGAATTTAATATCTATGTCTAGATCGATTCGGAACAATAATACTTTAAAGAAATTTTTTCGGATTTGATCAAACAGTATTATTATTAAATAATATGAACAATATCATAGGTTTTATATATAAGTGTGTTAACGTAATTATCCACGTTTACCGGTCCTTCGCTCTATCTTAGACGGACTATTGACTTGTTACTGGCGTGTGTTTAAGTTTCAGCTATTCTTTTCCCGTAAAAGTGAATAACCATTAGCATAAAACCCTCCGGAACAAAATATAAACTTAATACCAATAGCCTTGGAAAATACTTTATGTTAGTCCGAATAATATCGCAAACTTCACGATCTTTAACTTCCTTACGTGAGTGATCTAAAGGGGACCTATAGATTATGGTAAATAAATACCAAGCTATAATTCCAAGCAGTAGTAGAATTAGAATTAGTTTCATCCACTTAAGCAGACTCTTGTTTTTGTTCCGTATCCCAATACATGCAGCAGCCATACATATAAAATTAATCACTAAATAGCATCCAAGCACAATTGCTGCTGTTGGATCATAAGCCCCAAGAGCACGTATTTTCGATAAGATAGTGCCACCTAATTGACAGATAGTGGCAAGAAGAAACAATTGAAATGGTGTAGTTTCTTAATATCATTTTAAGAATGAATTGTACCTTTTAATCACAAACGAGTAGTTTAAATTAATAGTAATGATTAAAAAATATATAAATTACGACCAATAAAGGTAAGCTAGTCTTAATTGTCATAAATGATATATTAAAATATTTAGGGTATTGTTTATTGCATTCTCTGTAAACTCTAAACTTACCTTCCAAAATATAAAAGAATGGGGTGACGATATAAATGTAAATTCCAATGATTGCGAGGATAATACCTAAGACTGAATACAGAATTTTTTTATAGTCATTTCATGCAAGGATTGAAAACCAATGTAAAACCTCGTGATACTAGAATTTTAGTTCTGCATAGTTAAGACGAGAAATTTGTAATATAGAAGCATTTATTTAAGAATCGTAGCCCTACAAAATTTAAGACATGTTGCTAATATCGATAATCTGGTTGGCTTCAGCGCTATTATTTTAGGTTTGCTTGGATCTAAAAATACAGGTTTAAAAAATAAAATTATTTTATGAGTTAAAATCATGTCACCTATAAAAGAATGCCTCAAATACCTATAAACGTATACAAGGATAATAAACAACATTGTATGTTTTAAGTCTGCATATCTATTGATACATGTATCCAGTCTTAAAGAAGAGGAAGTGAAACTCTTGAACAATGAACTCATTGAAGGATATTGTATTGACAACTTGTTTCACAAATTTTCTACCAGGGCGATAGAATAAATAGATACTATAAACAGATATTGATTAATACTTTAACGGACCTTCTTGCCCTGCTATTGGCAGCGGAGAGTCAGTAATAGTTGCTAAAGGTATGTCATTTTGGCCATTAGTAAGATCAGTAACATTAGCAACTGGATATACAATACCTCAATTGAAATATCTACTATTTTTAAACCTGTCACAGTTCTACCAACAATGAAAACGTCTTTTAAGATAAACTGAAATTTTCATAATTTTTGCTAACTTTAAATGATCTTTTGTGGCTTTACGTAACTTTCCAGATGTAATCTTGTTGTTTATTGGTTACAAAGCAGCTATTAGTTTACTGATTTATCCAGGATTCTATTGCAAATGATCATGTATTGCATATATGCAATAAAATTTTCTACATTGATAGCATTTACGACTGCAGTACTGATATGCTTGGAAGTTAACCATATGTTATTACAAAAAACAATTGACCATGCTAACAAATCCAGGTGGCTGCTGTTGTCAAACTATTATAAAGAATGCCATTATTGATGATTAATAAACATGGAAGAAGAATTACGCCAATATAATTCTCTAGATCATTTCTGTCATTAATATAAATTGGGTTGCAAGACTTCTGCTCAACAAGTCAAGTGATCATGTCGTACAAACAGCTAAACAATTTTCTTTACAGAATGCATTAAATTAACAGTTTTACCTAAAGACCTTTATTTTAGTTTAAATTAAATAGGAATAATGTTGCAATGGCTTCTAATCTTTCTCTATTATTAAGTTTTATTTTCACGAATGGTAAATCTGCCTTTTCTGTTAATTATTTATATTGAAAGGATTTTGACAATGACAGTACGTTACATTCTTAGGCGTTATAAAATCCAAATAAATGCTTGTTTAATACGATGATACTTGCCAACAGTTTCCGAAGTAACTTTCTGCTAGTATAAAATTTAATTTCTAACTATTACATGAAACTAAATCTGAACAAATAGTAAATCGGCCAGTTTTGGTCTATTCCTTCCATTTAATGATAGT